GGAACACCTTGTGCTGCCCCTTCCCCTGCTGTTTACCTACACCCTGTATACTCGTTCTCACTGCAGCTAGAGCTGGAGCTGCTGCAGAAGGAGGAGAAGTTGCTGGAGACAGATATGGTCTATGAGCAGGTTTCCCGGCTGACAGACAGAATCCGTGCCATGGCAGAGGATGGGAAGCAGGACACGCTGCTGTTAGCTAAAAGGGTAAGAAGGGCATTGCACACTCTGCTTGCTGGCCTGCATGAAATGAAATAAAAACTGGGCAAGAGGTAAGATGACTCACTTGCAAATTACAAAAGTGGCTGGAAATAGTGACAGGCAAATCACGTTAGTCTTCAGAAATTATAGACATTGAGTAGTAACAGTAATATAGAGACACCAAAAGCACTAGGTGAGTGTACTTTCGTTTTCAAAGAAAGTTGCACCATAAATAACACCTTTTACCAAAATATAGGATTGGTTGTTTCTCAGGTAGGTGCTTAGAAACTTGGCAGAATCCTCCTTTTGCAGGTACACTTAACAGCCCGTCCACAACAAACACATCAAAGTCTAAAAAATAATAGGGAAAAGCCAGGTAAGTTCTACTCTAACATACAAAAAGATAAACTTGGTATCTGGCTCACAGGTTCTTTGTTATTTAGGGAGAACCACACAGGAAAGAAATAATCATTTTCAATACAATTACTTTTATAAAATTACAGCTATTTCCTTTCAATTGCCAGTAATATTGTTTGGGGAAGAGCAAAAATCCTCTCACCCCCATCTCCTTAATGAAAAAGCTCCAAATAGAGCCGAGCTGAGTGAAAGACAGAAAAAAAAAATGCTGAGTAATTAATGTAAAACAAGGCCAGGTGTTGAATTTTTTTTTCTTAGGTGTGAGGTCTGGCACTCAAAGGCTTAAATCACAGCAGTGTTTATAGTAAATCTCTAATTTTCCACAGATAGAGAAATAACATGGCTGTTAATTAGGTTTGTGAAATCATGGCCATGGGCTAATAAACTACTGTAAAAATGGCAGTGTGCCAAAAAGTTACATTTGCAAGTTCTCTGACTCTCCCCATTCCCAATTAGTCACTTTAAAAGAGTATTTAAGTTTTGCTGGGCTTTTTTTTTTTTGTTTAAATCATCTCCAGTCAAACTCAAGGATTCCTGTCCTATTCATCTTCTCTCCATCCCCTTGCCAAGGCTTTCACAACCCACAGCCCCACTTTGTCCACATCTTGTAAGGATTGGGCTTATTACACTTTTATTACAGTTAATTGTGCACAAGGTCAATCAAACCCTGCCTGAGGGCAATGGCAGTTTTGCTGTTCAGATGAAAAGGGCAGGAGGTAAATCTAAACTTGCTCTTCTGTATCTTGTATTGGAGTAAACGTGACTTCTTATGCTGCCAGTTTCTGTAGTTCCAAGTGTCCACAGAAACACACCTCCTGCTTCATTAAGTCGTTTTCAAGTGTGGAACTGTTTTTTTTAAAGCCAAGTCCAGCTGGACTTGTTTTCACATACTTAATATTTACCTAAGTGTCATGCCCAGCAAGTGTCATGCCCAGCAGGTGTCTAAAGGGAAGCCCAAACTAAAATGTAGTTGTTACTTCTTCCAGACAAATGAACTGCAGAAGATGATAAAGGACAGATCCCAGAAGATGATGGCTCTTGTTGCAGAGTTATCCATGCAGCAAGCACTTGCCATTAAACTCCGGCGGGAAATGACAGACAAAGAAGAATTTTTGATGACTGTTTCCTCAAGGATAGATCAAGGCCTTCCCCCTCCCAAAGAAACAGAGAATGAATGGCTGAAGGTACTACGCAACGAAAAGATGCATAAAGAAGCAGCTGAAGCCAGAGCTAAAGTAAGTTTTTGCCATATGCTGCAATTAGATCTTCAACCCCATTTTTTCACTGCTCTAGCTTGTCTTTCTCAAAGAGCTGTGCCAAGTCACTGCATAGCTGCTCCATGCCAGTGTGGAGCTCCTGGAGTCAGTGGAGATGATGGTATAGACAGAGAGAACTACAAAAGCGGTACATCGTGGGTTTCTGGAGTTACAACTGTGGTCAGGCACACTGCTCAGAACTGGTCATTGAATCTTAAGGAGGGAATACACTGAAAGGAAGACTTACCTTCAAGTACTAAAGTAATTTTTGTGAGTATGTTTTGGGATGATGGCTGAGGTAGCCACCAGTGAAGTACTGCTTTCCATCTGATGGAGGTAAAGCTGCAAAAGGTGGGGTGTGGGGTTCAGGAAAAATAAGTTTAGCATCTTTCACATACCAGACAGTGAACATCACATCAAAAGTACAAGAGATCAGATTGCTGGGCAAGACACTGAGGGCAGGCAGGGCAGCATATCAAATAGTGCTTCAAATTCTACCCTGCTGGACACCATGCTTCTTTAGTCGAGACCAGCAGTGATCCCAGAGCACAGAGCTCCCAAAGGAAAAATAGTAGAAAAGCGAGATGTGCGTACTGAGGGAACTCTTCCTGATTGGAAATTATCTTTGCTGTATGAATTGCTCAGTCCTAGGGAATCTGAAAGGTACACAAAGCTGGGAGCAGAATACATTGTGTGTACACTTAAAGAGCCTAAAGTCATGCAGAAGTGCTACAGTAAAATTGGTTTGGAATAAGAAACTTCTCGTGCTGTGACTCAGTTTTCTTTCAGTGCTGTGACAAGCTCACTGCAGTAACTGTATTCAGGAACAGCGGCTGTCAGCGTAAATACAGCCACATTTTGAAGCATCAGAATGATTATCTTGTTCCTGGGATGTTCTGTGCACACTTATTACAGTTCATCTAATCTGTTTTCTTCACCAATAACAAAAGTATTACAGGTTCCAGCTGCATAATATTTAAAAGGACAAACTCCCATCTACATGGTCAACAACTCAGGCTTTCCTTTCAATGAGCAAGCAACACCCCTCTGGGTTTCCTGGTTTGCTAAGGACTAGACTAACAGTCTTTCCTGCATTAGGCATTCTGTACATTGGCTCAGGAGCACACTGCAGTTTTAAAGTGTATAATCACCAGGTGATCCAAATGTGCTTCTTTCCCAGCGTGCTGCAGAAGAGGAGCAAGCTGCAGCGCCCGGCTATGTCCGCACGACAGCTGCACAACGCCCAACCACCTACATCCCCGATGATGACTACAGTCTCCCATTGCCACGGCCCTACGGCCCTCAGGCTCCTTTCAAAGCGAGTGAACCTGCTTCACATTTGAGACATTTCCGAAAACCTGTTGTAAAGCCAATTGAAATCTGACCCAACTGCTGAACAGACAGCACCTGAAGCAGGAGAGGCCATTACCGGTTGCTGAATCTCAAGGGTCAACAGCATTTACACTGCACTGCAGGAATGTCCGTCAGTGTTTAGCCAAATTCCATACTGAAAACAAAGTAAATATTAATGCCAGAAGCAGAGCTAACTAGTCAGTGATACAAGTTCCCTTCTCCTGGCTAGGAGGAGCCTTGTATCCCAAACACAGTGCAGTATTTTAAGATGTTAAGAAAAATGAGTGATCATCATACTATGCTTATTTTTTTTCCAGGTGAAGTTTTATTGCATCTGATTATATTTTATAATACATTTCATTAAAAAGAAAAGTCTAGAACATCTTCTCTTGTTATTAATATAACAGAAAGGAAGTCCCCACCACTTACAGAAATACACCAACACAGGTTTCTGCAGTCTGGGATTGATGTTTATGCTTGTCAGACAAATTTTAATTATATTAAGAAAAATATTCCTTCCCTCTGTGCAGTTACTGAGAAGGCTAAAACTCTTGCTCCACTGACGGCAATGGCAAGGAGATGACCATGAACTTGCCAAGCCACCCCTGAGAAGTGGATCTTTTTATTTCACTGGTTAGGAACAGGAAGCACCAGTGGAAACTGCTCAGAGAGAATATCAGAGATCACTATTGAAAACCTCCAAAATCTGTCAAATTGTCAATGAGTTTCACTAGTTTAATAGTTGAAACTTTGATAGAGTTGTTTTTAAATCCAATAAAGACTGCAGAAATCCTGCATGTCAGAACTGCAGATTTTCTCTGCACAACAAACCAATATTACTATTTTAAATTAATGTGACAGTTCACAACTTAAAAAAAACAAACAACCCAAACAATACTGGTCCAGTTATATATAAATAAAAGTTGAAAAAGAAGGAAAGACAACCTCATTATTTCTTTTTGAAGCTGAGGTAACACTAAAAGTTGAAAGGAAAGAATTAAATAAAACTCTGTCCAGATCACCATTAAGATAAATTTCTAAATAACTTTTTTCTTACCCTGTATTGCTTACAATACATTATACATATCTTAAAAAAAACCCCAAAAAACCAAAACCAAAACCCTGTCACATACACTTTAAGAAGATTATATTCTGTGCTAATTACAAAACTGAATGTATTAGAATCCAACTCCAAAGGCAGAAGTACCGTAAGATAACACATGACCACCAGAAGGAATGAATGCATCATTGCCGGTACAGTATATACAGAGACTGATTCATCATGTGTGATTCTTACCTGCTTTACATAAACACACCAAGAAAACACGTTATTAATCCAAATGAGTAAACAGTCACCAGTTTCTTGTTAACTGTACAACACCACTGGACTACCTTTTTCAGGATTGTCTACATTGTTATAGTAATTAACATCCATTTTCACAGTGTGTTTTAATACTCGCTGTAGTTCTACTCAGTGGACCACTTCACCATGAAGCCACAGATACCTTTCATTAGAAACCTGTGTTTGTGTCAGACAAATTTCTCTAGGATTTATCTGAAGTCAGTGATTTCAGCCTTAATGCATTGCACCAAACAATACTTGGAGTAGTTTATGTCCGTAATGGTGGCTACACAAAACTGCAGATTATATGGAAAACAACAGAACATTTAAATTTAAAACAAACACAAAAAAAAGTTGGTTGCACACCTCTGTGTGAATACTTTTATAGAAGAATGCCACAGCGAGCTTTCTTCAACAGGAATTGAAGAATTATTTCAGGAATATTTGAGGCCCAAAAGCCTCATGGTGTGTTTGAGTGCTGTTTCCTCTACAAATCTCACATTAACATGATCTTGTTTTTCATATGGATGCAAACCTAGAAAAACAACATGAGAAATTTAGTATTTACAAAATCATAAGTGTTCTCTTACACTTAGCCCTCCTGCAGTCTATTAAACATCTACAATAATGAAAGATAAGGTAATAGATGAACCTGTGTTTTCATTTACACAAAATGCCTACAGCTTTCAGTGGAGTCATTTGGATGCTCACTCGTGGCAGAAACTTTCCTCTAAGTGGGATAAAAGTAAACGACAGACCATCTCTGGAGGCTGCTAGTAGTAGTAATTCTACACTGGAGATCCAAAACAAGACGTAAGCACAGTGGCCATGTTTGTGCTAGTACACAAAATGGACCAGGGCACATTCTCATATGCTTCCATATGGTTTAACTCTTTTTCCTCCCCAAATGGGAGGATATCCATATATGGACAATCTTGTTCCAGCCTTCAGGTGCTTATTTTGACTTTATTTTGTTTACTAGTACAGGCATAGCCAGTAATGCTAAACAGTACAACACTTCCCTTAATGCATCTTACTTTTTCAGTAGAATTCAAAATCTTTGGATGCTTAGGATCACTGTATGAAGCCAGTGTCCTAACCAATTAGAACTGTATTTCACAAAAAGGAACAGCTTTAAGATTAAAAATGCCTGTTACTTCAGAGCACATCCTAACCTAGCGATGTGGGCACTCTTTTCTGAGGCAGAAGATCTGATTTTGGTTGCTTCCTAGCCACCATACCATATAAATAAGGAACAGGCCCTTCTCTCCATTTGAACACAGGATAACAGCTACCACACTGTATGTGAACCACGTTTCATTATGTGTGTTCTGAAAAATGCAAGTTTGCTAATTGGATCCAACACAGAGAGGATTGATATGAAACGACATGCAATGAAGAAGCTCCCTGACTATTCCCATCAGCAGAGAGATGACCACACCTACACATTCAGACATCACTGGAGTTTTAGAACTCAGGTATGTCGATAAAGTCAGGATACAGCTGAGTGTGAGCATCAAAGGGTAACAATTACTAGTCTTCCAAAGTACAGAAATAACATTACCTTGATTCTCTACCTCTGCTAGCATATTAGTCAGGTAGTTAAGTGGCAAAAACTCTACAGGGACGGGGAGTCTCTCGGGGATGGGCCTGCTACACTGTAAGGGAAAATATTTCAGGTTAGTTCACAAAGTTGCACAGTACCAAGTTTCAGTCTGATCTTCAGAGTGTTATGGTTTACAGAAAGGTCAGGAATCTCAACACTGGCAAATGTGTCAAAATGCCTATGTGCCCTTACCTGTGTGTCCCCCAGCTTCTCAAGCAAAAGTTTCACGTATTTCCGTGCAATGAAATTAGCGTTTATTGGATGATTCCAAAACTGGCGGATCTTTAGACCAAGAGCCTAGTAAGCAAATAAACAAAACAAAACAAAAAACAACCAAAAGCCTGAGAACATAAACAGAGGACAGTGGAAACCCAGGAGGGGGAAAAGGAGATAGAAACCAGAAACAAAATCCAGGCTGTAACACAGACTGATTTGCTTTCAGACACTGATGACAGAAGCTAAGACGTTGTCATTTTTAGCCACGGAGCCCTGCTTTCGTAACCAGTAACTAAGAGATGACAAAGTGCTCCCAAAATGTAGGAAACAATCAAAACCCTGCTACTCACCAAGCTACTCAGTAAGTTTCTATCAATCAGTCTGTCCCATTTCTTCTGTCCCACATTGCACGTGTACTTAAATATTAACTGAGGCTTAAAATGACGGTTTATCCTGTACTGTGACGCTCTGGTTTAGATCCCATTCCTCAACGCTCCATTCAGAACAGAGCTTCTCTCAGGCTCAGTCTAAGGAATCTTACAAAAGCAGAATGCCAACAAGGAGAGATACTGGGAACACAGTTTGCATCCCATTATTTAGGACATTGTCCTGGGAATTGATAACATTGATTCACATTCCCAAAAACAAGACAGATTCAAACCCAGATGTTCCCAAGCTTCCAATCCTAACCAACAGGCAAACACATATGAACACAGTTAGCTCCCCTTTCTGCTGTCTTCCCCATCTAGATCTTTCTCTCACCACCACCACCACGTTTTCAGTTGTATTGCAATATGCACTGCTGAAAGAGTTCATTTAGGAAATATTGGACAGTTTTAGTGGTGCTTAAATACTTGCTTCTGATGCAGCTGAAGTCATCTAGTGAATGTAACCTGCTCAAAATAGTCTGAGTCACCCCAAAATGTACTTTTTGGCAAACAAGCTATTCTCTGCATTTTTCCCAAAGCTCTAAATAGATACAATAGGGCACTGAGTCTACTGTCCATAACTAGCAGTACATGTCCCCTAAAGTACTCACAGCTCAGCCCTTCACGTCAAAGCCCAGCTGGAATGGTGTTCCCCACCCACCAGGCCTGGGGGTGACAGCTCAGAGAGGCCCTGCACTGACCCCAGCTCACCAACCCATGCCCAAAACAAGATACAGAGGACAAAGAACCTCCTGTGGAGCTCTCCTTCCCTACCCCTTCTCAAAACTGCTGCCAAATAAAGAAGCCTTTGTTAGAGGAAAACCAAAGTGGTACTTCTGGTCATTTGAACTGTAGTAACAGCCCATAACAAGCAAACAATAAGCAACTGATGTACAGAAAAGCCTGTTCTGCAGCAAGGCAGTCCCCGAGGGGGGATCCCTGGTTTTCCTCTGCTCACTGAGCTGCTGTGCTTCCTCTGCAGTGCTGTGGTGTGTACTAAGATCAAAAGGAGAAAAGGAGAAGTCAATCTCCCATTCTGTTGGAACTTTCAATGGAGCATCAGTAATTAGTTCCAGCATGTGGCTAAATGAGTCACCTTACCAATGGGCGAGGCTGGGAAATTTCACAGAGGCAGAGATCTTGTAACTCCATCCCCATCATAGAGTTGTGATACGATCAGATTTTACAGCTTTTACTGTACCAGCTTTTGAACATATTTGATAAAATTAATGCAACCAAATACAGAGGTCACAAGTGAGAAAGGCATTTGTGAATGCTAAGAAACACACACAAAAATTCCATAAATCCTCTTTAAAACCCGTTAAAGCCTTATTGCTTCATGCAGATGCACTCAGCAGAACAGCGTCTGCAGGGTACTGGAGACACTGTAAAACACTATGGACAAATCTGTAATTCAGTTACCAGAACACCCTGCAGGTCATGAGCAGCAGATGGAGAAGGTGTGGAGGTTCCGTTTATATTTGTGCCCTATTTGAATCACAGCTAAGTCTTCCATTGGCTCCATCCTATGCACAGGAGGGAGTTTCCTATCAATTCCAAAATCCAAGGAATGACATCTGAAGTCATTAGTTACCTCAGGAAGCCTCATGACAATACTGAACTTCAGCTTTTCATTCTTCTCAGTGTCATCCAGATCTATAAGAGAAAGGAAAAAACAAAACAAAACCAAAAAGAGCAGCCACATAACTAAAACTTTCAACTTTCACTGAAGACATTCTGAATAAATATAACCTCTGTAATGAAATTTTAAATTTTAAATAAGTGCTATTAGGAGTGTTATTTATGTTTATACCATTTATATAAATATTTTTCTATATATTTGTATGTAACTTCATCATTTTATGTAACAATTTATTCAGGAATTCAAATGTGTTTTGACTAATTAGAACTCCCAATATTTATAATATTTCATTTATCAAGACCAGGCACAGCTTAATACAGCACATTGTGTTGTCCCTTTTCTTGAACATGGGAGAAACAGCACATTACAAAGCCCATTGATCCAGCCGGTCCAGATCCCTCTGTAGAGCCTCTCTACCCTCAAGCAGATCAACACTCCCACCCAACTTGGTGTCACCTGCAAACTTACTGAGTGTGCACTCGATTCCCTTGTCCAGATCATTGATAAAGATGTTAAACAGAGCTGACCCCCATACTGAGCCCTGGGGAACACCACTTGTGACTGGCCACCAACTGGATTTAACTCCATTCACCACAACTCTTTGAGGCCAGCCATCCAGCCAGTTTTCCACCCAGAGAAGAGTACACCCATCCCAGCCATGAGCAGTCAGTTTCTGCAGGAAAATACTGTGGGAAACAGTGTCAAAGGGTTTACTAGAGTCTAGGTAGGCAACATCCACAGCCTTTTCCTCATCCACTAAGTGTGTCACCTGTTCATAGAAGGAGATCAGGTCAGTCAAGCCCGACCTGCCTTTCATAAACCCATAGTGACTGGGCTTGATCACCTGGCTGTCCTGTACGTGCCGCGTGATGGCACTCAGGATGATCTGCTCCATAACCTTTCCTGGCACTGAGGTCAGACTGATAGGCCTTTTCCTCTTGTTCCAAACATGATTAAAGTAAAAGCTGAGGACTGGATAGCAGACTAACTTCCTTGCACACAGGTCTGCACTTTCATAGAGTCATCGAAATCCCCCAACAAATTCTACAATGATCTTTAGTATTCACTTTTCTAAGAAGTCCCAAATGGAAAAACTATAAACTCAAATTCTTCCCAAACAAATACTTCTTTGTCTACTACAGCAAGGCTCAATCGTATAGTCTGAACTCTAATTTTCTCCTTTCAGCTGGGCAACAGCATCAGCTACAGCCCTCAACAAAACAACACTCTGAGAAGAGCTGAGTCTCCTGAAGCAGTAAGTAAATCCCATGGTTGAGTCTGAGTGGCTGAAAGGATATCACTCCCAATTAGCTGGCTGGTAACAATTGAAATACATGAAACTCGCTGTACCTTTCAGCAATTTCCTGACACACGTTTCTGTCAGATGCAAGACTCCATTATCAATATAGTGCAGGAGGGTGTGCAGAGGGAGACATCGAACACCAAGCCCCAAGTGCAGAGTGTGAAAACCTATGAAAGAGAAACAAATTTGTCTGGTACAACAACATGTATTTTTTTCCAAGTTTGTATTAGAGATTGGCATTACTCTAGCTAAAGCCAACACTCTCCTTTCTGATTGTTTCTAGCTGTCAGCAAATCAGTTTATCAAAAGTCATGTGGTCTTATTTAGGCATCCTTTAAGTCCTCTCAAGTACAATCCTGTCAGAAAGAGGAAAGCCAAGGGGACTGAAAACAGTCATAGTCATACACAGTCATTAAAAATCTCCAAGCTGTTGCCTTATATCAGAATTGTTCTATTAATTTGTCTTTTATCTCCCTTTCCTCCTAATTAATCAAAACCTGAGGCCTCACCACCCTCAGTATGTGGCTGCCATCTACACATTCCCACAGGCAACATTAAGACTTCAGGTTCTCACTTAACATAAGACAGATGATGGTCTTGTCATGATGTGACATCATTACGTGGCAGCATCTGCACCCACACAGTGTAAGTTTGAGGGACTATCTTATTCTAAAAATATTTTTAAAGACTGAAGGCAGATTAGGAAATACAAACTAGAAAAACTCAAACAGAACCAGAAAGCATTAAGTTAAGAAGTCTTTCCCTAACAAAAATAAGCAAGTGCTTTGAAAAGATTCTAAGCAATTATGAGGAGCTCTAGGAAACGAAAGTCTAGTATCAAGCTGGAGTAATCCCTTCAGGATAAAACTGAAAAAATATTAGCAGGGCAACAGCATGAGAAAACTACTCTTTTTTTTTTTGCTCCAGGACAGGATTTTCCCCTGTAGCCCTTGACACTTAAGTCCAGTTGTCTAAGAAAAATATGTAAGTGAAAGAAGTCTAAATCTTAGTTCTAAGCTAAGACTGTGCCCAAGCATTCCACTGGAAGCTGAAAACAGAGAACTAAATCTGATTTGTTGTCTCTATTTGTAGTAACTATTCAGTTTCATTTACTTTCACTTGCATGTGTTTATGGAGGGTCTTACCCTCTGTAACTGTCTTGAATAGATTTCAATACTGCCAAAGCTAAGTTGACACACATGCTGCAACTAGTGCTCTTCTGGGATGAATTAAGAGCATTGCTCTCCTTAATTACCATTAAAACAGCAAAACAGAGGACTCACCAGGAGGTAAAGGCAAGCACATGCCATTTGCAGCTTCCAGAATCCGACTCATGATGTGGAACACTGCAAACTCTCCTGCACTTCCTCTCTCATCACTGTATTTAACAGAGTAGCAACATATCAGGAATCCGAGATGCTGACACTCTCCTGGAGATAAGGTCAATTTGCTGTACTACATGTGCACTGAATGCATGCATTTGGGGTGAATTGCCAAGGGATGCTCTCTTGTTTATTAAGGTGTCTGTCATCTAACAGCACTAGCTGTTCAATGTTGACACACAAAGCTTCTGCAGTCCCTTTCTCCTTCCCCCCTACGGCATATTTACAAGTCTCTCAGCAGTACCTGGTATCAACAGCAACAGGTGAAATACTTTGAGTGCTGGTATAAGTGATCTGGATTTTATAGGTGTTTAACAGCCACTACCCCGCATAAGACCACTATGAATGCATCAACTTTGAACTCCAGCTGTAAAATTGCCTGTGATTAACATTCATATTGGCTTAGAGAGGACCAGCAGGATCATTAAAAGGAGTACATGACAGTACAGTCATACTGACATTTACAGCACAGTAAGCACTGACTGTTCCAGCAACTAGTACTACTGGAGACCAAAATAATTTTTAATTATGTTTTAAAACCATGGTTTAAACGACAGGCTGAAAATACTAACAAATGACTTGCTTACAAGCAGAAGATGCAGGAATGAAGCTGGTATCTCCTCCAAACTTCTTTCATTATTTGATGTACCAGATCCAGCTAAAACAAAAAAGACAGAATGTTTCTATGAGCCTGTGTAGAGCAGGCCCTTGGCCTTCATTCATTTCACACACCAGTTTACGTTAAAAACTTCTCATGAGACTCCTACTAAGACTTCAGTATTTATAATTTTTTTTCTAGCATTTTAAAATGTAAAATTGATTAAAATCTGAATTGTAACTGAATTGCCCTATTCCAGAAGTTTAAAGTAAGCCCTTTCAGCTCACCAAATCATTGTGCACGACAAACAGCAGGTTAATACATCGTTATTCTTGGGGATCAACCAATCTCATGCTCTTACATGAAATTCTCAAAGATCTGTTAACCATGAAAGCAAAAACTGCATGTGCAAGTGGCTGAGCATTTGGCAAGGAAAGGTCTTGAGGGTCCAGACAAAACTGGATGAGGCTGAAGACAGCAGAATACCCAGTTTGCTGAGACAAGTCTGCAGGAGGAATCACAAACCTAGTCCTGACAAGGAGGAAAGATGAGACAAGCAAATGCCTCTCCTCCTCTGTTGCGTTTCCTTTTTGTCCACAGGGAAGTAAAACAACTCCTTGGCCCATATTGTTGCTTCCTTGTGGTCCAGGCTGACCTCCAGTACAGACTGTCAGCATACAAAAGCCATAAGCCCTGTTCTCACTTGGGCCTTCTAAGCCTCTCCAGCTGAAAGAGAGAAACCACACATGAAAGAGCTGAAATAACTTCCTCTAGCTCGCCCCTCAAGGCTGTCATGTGTAACCACTTCCATATCTCAGTGACAGAACTGAGACACTTCCTCTACGCCTTTTATCTCTGGGCCTCAAAGGACACCAATCAATCAATCCCAAGAAACAAGTCTGACCCCTGTTTCGCAGAAAGGTGTCAAGAGAAGTTCCAAACTCTTTTCCCCCTCAAGATGGCCAGAATCCAGGAATCCCTTTTCCCCCACTCTCTTTTTTCCTCATAGGCTCTGCCCTCTCCAATCTCTAACTTGTCAGAGGCTCTAAGCAAGAGAGAAACAGGACACAGAGGAAAGGTTCATATGCAAAGGTCAGGACAGGAATATTGGTCTTCACTAATGCTCCCGAGTGCTCTCCTCTCTACCTTGGCCAGAAAGCTTGACACCTTTTCCCTCCACTGCTCCATCCAGCCTTGCACAGCTACCTGATGCAGAATAACCACCTAATACTTTCCATCTTCATACTTCCTTGATGCAGTGGAAAGCTCCAGTTTAATCTCTCTGGAGTATGGCAAGTTTTCTCCACTTGTTTTCCAGGAAATTAGCAATTTCCAGTTTTCAGAGAAGGGTCACAAGAACTGCACCTGCTGCTGGAATGACTTTCATCTCTGGCCAGCACACAGGGTGCAGCTAAGGCCTCTGCATCGGGAGCTACAGCTGGATCTGAAGATCAGCGCTGAGGTGAAGGGAAGGCTCTTACAAACACCAAAAATCACCTCTTACTATTTGTGCAACGAAAATACAGAAATTATTTTTATGGGTATAATACTGCAGAATCAATATTCTTTGCTTAACAATAAACTGTTTGGGTTTTGCAGAGTATAGAAAGATAACAACTTCTTAAGTCCTAGTCAACCTCGCTATCACAACATAGTTAGATCTTAAATACATGCATGCTTGTGACATGACACCCTCATCAACAACACTACTCACTTCAGAGATCAGCATCTACCATCTACAATGGGCACTGTAGAAAATACATACAGAAAGAGAACCTATGTCTCAAACTTTTTTCAGTATAAATGTACCTGATCTGTTTTATAGAGGGAGTACAGGCAGCTTCTCTCCAAGGCTAGCAGCAGGTCTCTAGGGGAACCAAGTTAAGAGCTAAACCCGTTCCTTCACAGCAAAGCCATTTTTAATTTACTAACAAGGATGTACAATATGAGGTTTTTTTGAGCAAGTATCAGAAGCCATTGCTCTTGGAGTGCTCTAAACTAATGAGAGAAAACATGATCAGCGGTGGCGCAAAGCATGCAGTAGGGTCTAGGCTGACAAGGGCAAAGCACCTTGCTTTCCTGAAACACCTACATTTCCAGGCAATGGTGCTGAGTAGACTGAAGATCCACTAAAGTTACTTAGCACCACAAGTGCTCAGCTCCTGTGGCTGTTTCTACAGGAAAGACATGGAAGCACACAAAGAAAAGAACCGAGAGAAGGAGTGAGACAAGGTCTTGCTGTCTTCCAGATTCCCTCCTGTGCAGGGGATAAGAGGGAGTCCTCCTCTTTCTGAGGAAACTCAAATCCAAATGGTGTCCGTCTTCTTTTCTTCTGCAATTGAGACCACACCATATGATAGCTAGCCACAGACATCAGCCAAAAAGGTGCAGCCACTGCAGTGACTTTCTGAGAAATTTCAACAGTTTATTCTAGTCTGCCTCTTTCCTGGCCGTTCACTCTGCCTCCCCCTCTGCTGTCAGAGCAGCAAACGTCAGGCTGCTTCTGTAAGTTACTTCTCTCCTTTCCCGCCCCACTGAAACCAAAACAGTGAGAGAAACAGATGCAGAGTAAAGCTAAGATAAAGTGATTGCAAGGGAGAGAGAGAATATGGACATACAAACAACTACTGCAGGCTAGGTGGCATTTGGACTAGTAACCAGGCATAGTGAGGCTCTGCAGACCTCCTCAGCAAACAAGGGAATTCCCACTGAGACATTTTCTTCACATTTCCCCACATTACTTCTCTGTATACAAACATACAGAGCTCTCTGACAACAACCAGCCACTAGTCTGTTGTTTTATGAAAAACTGCCAATGCTCATGTCTTGGCTACTTCTTCAGCTGCAATTGATTTATACAGTGACTACACACCACAAAGCCCTACTCTCAGACACTCCTTTGCTCCTGAATGTAATAAAAACATATTTTATGAAAGCACACAGGCAAGCAAATAACTTCAAGTCTCTTTCCATTTCATTAGTTTCAGTAGCTCAGCTACATGCAGCTGATGCAACAGAAAACTGTTGGAAGAATCAAAACAATTCCCCTGAAGAACCTCCACACATTGGATATAGAAAAGTTTAAGATGTAAGAGTCTGTGATTAGGATGAGGGGAAATCCAAGCTTAAAAATGAAGTAATTCCTAAAGATTTCCAAGCAGCACCTAAGATGCACCAGCCAGAGGGCGAAAGCAATTTTGAGAGACATATTGTCTTTGTTTATAGAAGCTTTTCTAAGAATGAGAAGTCTGTAAATTGAGTTGAGATAATTTTTACTTTTAGTGACATTAAAAAAAAATTAATCCTGAGAGTTTGCTGATGGGGAGAGTTGAGATTTGTTTTGATTATAAGAATTAGTCTACAATAATTTAGTCTTGCAGATCAAGGCTGAATAGGTGTTTTCATATTTTTTATCTTAGTTTATATTAAGAATGAACAAATGATAACTGGAAAACAAATGAAATGAAAATAAATATTCCACTTGTGCTTTTTTCAGTGCTGTTTTGGGGTATGGAGCTTTGGTTCATGCTGTACTGCTCTCATTTTAATCAGCCACAAGATTTTTCTTTCTTTCTTTCCTACAGAGATACAGAAAACAGACTGCCAATTACCACTGAAAGCTGTAGAGTGAGGCCTGAATAGAAAAGTCAGTAACCTCAGTGGAAGCCTCAGCAGTTCAGAGAACAACACAGCACAACCGATTTGCACAGCACTTACTAAAAGATACAGGCAGCAGTAGTCTCAAGAAAGTTTCCTGAGATTTCCAACCCTAGACACTGTGGGGAGTTTCTACTGAATGGTGTGGCAGGGCTCCACCACTGAGCTAGTTGCCATGTGAGCTCTCGTGGACTTTGCATTCTGCACTTAAGTGCATTCTGCACTTTGCATTCTGCCAGTCGTCGAGACCGGCAAAACCAGGTACAGTAATTTCTATGCACAACAGTCACAGTTTTTACAGCTTTTTTTAAAAAAAAAAAGTTTGTCTTAAGAGGATGAAAGACAGAAAATAAGAATTTGGAAAGCAAGTTTTCACTGCAGTCTACATGGATTTCTTCAGGCAAAACTCTGTCTCCTGTTACACGCACAAAAAGCCGATCGAATTCAGTATGCAGGAGTAGTGACGATTTACTCATGTGATATTGGAGTGAAATCTTTTCTCTTCATTTGTATTTCCCCTAATGACACTTTCATTATTCAAGACACGTAGCAATGTATTCTACAGGAAACAAAATGGATCTAAAGACCATTCTTTCAAATTTTGGGATGAGTTCACATTTTCACTTCTGAGTAAACCATATTTGTATAAGCTGTAAAGGGAACTTTTTCTTCTGTATTCTGAGTGACCAATACAACTCTTAAATATTATTTAAGTATTATTACTTCCTTTATCAAGATATACAATATTAAGCAGCAAAATATGGTTAAACAACTTAAAAACAATCTCTTCCCACCAAGTATGTTCTATATACACAGAGTACATACCCAAGACCCTACCCTCCAACAAATACATGCTTGCTCACAATAGTGACTATGAAACCAAACTAACCAGGTTTGCAACATAATCCAAAACTATTTCGTCAATCTTCTTTTTTCCTACATACTGTAGATGTCTCATTAGGTGATCCTTTAGCTGAGCAACCATCTAGAAAAAAAAGCCAACAATTCAGTGTCCTTGGGCACCTTCAAAAAGATGCAAAAGCTCCAGCAGGTACAGGGCCTGATCAATAGGCATTAGCACAACAAAACCTTTCCCTGTTACAAAACTCCAGTTCAGAGTGAGATCCCAGGCCACTGTACAGTCTCACCAAATTCAACAGCAGATATGAGTATTCAAAATGGTTACTTGGTGCTAATTCAGCAAAATGAGTGCTAAGTTGAACCTGCAATGACATTGAGGAGAAAAAGCTTATAGTTCTTACATCTCTCTGGGTCAAGGTAAGTGAACAGGGTGAAACAAGGATCTTAACACGAACGTTGAATCCTGAGAATGTAAGCATTTATTACATACAAATAAACCTGAGGGATTTTACGATAGAGAAAACCAGCACAAGTACAGTTTGTGATAGTAGCCAAGAATCTGAGAACCTGAGTGATTAATAGCAAGTTCAGGTTAAACATTAATTGTACAGTCTTTAAAATCAGGTGTTTGCTATCATACAGTCCATGCCACTCCCTACCCTCTCCTTTCTGAAATATTCTCTGACCTCACATAGCTTTGGACTGCAACTCAAGTCCATGCTGGTTCTTCGCTGAGAATTACTATGAATCATTATTTGTTTCAAAGTTCATAGAAAAAGCGAGGCAAATAAATCCTCTGTCTCAAGGAGTTTACAAGTAGATTAATCTCACTGTGTCAGGACACCAATGTAGGCATTAGGAAAGCACAGACAAAACACAGCAGCGACCTGCTTTTTGGATCTGTCTGAATAACTGCAGAGAAGGAATGTTAGAGAAGCTTCAGAGAATGAGAGGCAGAACTTGGAAACCAGGGGATAAGACTGAAAATAATAAAATTTGCCTTAGATCTGGACAGACAGGACAGTGTTGATACGCTCTTCAGACATGCAGTGCTGAGACCTTCCAGTGCATGCTGAAGAGCTTTATTTGATTTTAACAGTAAGAGAACAAGAGATAAGCAAAGATGCATATTTATACAGAGGGAGGACAGGCAGGGATTTGAGATAGGATTTATTACCCAGAAGCATAAGGATGGCAGATCCTTTAGGGAGATCATCAGTGTAAAGAATGCAAAAGAGGAAGAGACCTCAGAATAGCCATAGCAGTCCCACAAGTGAGGCAGAAGGAAAAGGAGACAGTAAAAAAGGTCTTAAATTGCAGAGCAAGAAGATCTGTGACATTCTCTTTGAGGGAAGCAGTGGATGGGGAATTCACCTATACAGGCTTTAAGGATTTAAAGTAGCCCAAAAACAACTGACAGAATAAGATGAACTCCAGGAGGATGAAATAACAGTTCCTAGCCAGAGAAAAGCTGTGCACAAAAAGCTTGCAAAAATAAAAAAAGTTGTATGCAAAAAGCATTTTGACAAATAACTTTCCATTGCTGTTCTTCCCTGATGCCTTATGATGTCATGACTTGTTAAGATGATATCATGGTATCATGACTAAGAACTCTAAAACTTAGGAAATACCATGTTTGTCCCATAGCTACTTTGAGTGAGTGTCTACCCAGCACTGGATCTCAGAAGCTTATCTTTACATTTGTTGAGGCTGTGCGTCCTCTAGTGCACACTGTGACAAAAGCACATACCAGTCCCATTAGTAATTGCTGCTGATAATCTTCCTCTTGAAAGAGAGGTACTAGCCTTTCCTCTGAAATAAACAGAGCAAGAATCATTCAAGTATATAATGCTACAGAAACACCACAAGACTTCAACCGGCTTTAAAAGTACTTTGAAACATACACAAACAAAACATAAGTTGTTATTTGATCTACTCACCTACAGAACTAAAATAGTGAAGAATCAAGGACTGTGTAAGAGAGAACTGAGCAATGGAAAATAACCCTGTATTTGCCATCTTCTCCCTCAAGCGTTGGCCACAGAGGAACACAAGACACACAAGCCAACATTGGCCACAGAGGAACACAAGCTTGTCACACCACTTCACACTTCATTTGCATTACTCTTTTCTTCGATATTTAAGGGAGAGTTATCACAGTGTGGTGATTCAGCAGAGCAAAGAGGCTCAGAGAACCTTCTAGTAACATCAGTGTAGATGTATATGTTATTTAAAACTTGCCATTTATGAACAAACAAGCCAAAACTGCTACATGGGTTTTCCAAGAAAATAGCTAGACATAAAGTATTTACTCCACAGAATCACCTCCCACTTTTCTGGGTCTGTCCCATGGTCCAGCTGCTTCTGTACCTCAGATTTGCAGACCACTAAGTAAAAGAACACAAATTTTCTAACTAAATCGAAGGAGGTTATAGTATCTACTGAGATTTAATACCCTGTATTTCCTAATCAGTGCTTCCTGTCTACTAACAAAGGAAGAAAAACAAGCTACTGTTTCACTGTGTAGCATGAAATCAAGTCAACTTTTTACAGACCCAAGTGCTAAATTTTGACAAAGTTCTTTACAGCCATCTTTGCTCACCTGGAAACATATTTACTCCACCACTTAGCAGCACAAAGACCTATGCTGCTTGACTTTTAAAGGACATAAAGAAAAATCTACAGGGAAGATACACTACACTGATGCTGGTTTGTGGCTGGCAGCTATTCTCTAGTAACAGTTAAACATCTGACTTCTTCATCAATAAGCACCTTTGGAAAACATGAACCTGAGGCTAGCAAGGTTGATACAAGATCTCTTAAAGCCAGAGCCCATAGCAAAAACCAGCAGTGGTGCTGATGGCCGGTGTTAGGGACCGGAAATAAATGCACTGAAAATTCTTCATAATAAAAGTAGTGAACAGGACTTACATCAGCATCATTTCACAGCACACAGTGGCAGGGCACATAGAAGGCACTAATATGTGAACAACAGGAACATAATTTACTACTAAATTCAGTTTTACTTATTTGTGACAGAAGAACTGAGCATCACAAAAATCTCAAGTGTTCCCAACCTAGAGAAATTCATTACATGTCCACTTTCTCTACACCATGACTTTTCACCAGCCATAATCTCCTACTGTGCACAAGTTCTAGAGTTGCCAAGGCAGCTGTAAGGGAACAAGACTCAACAGTAACGTGGCGTCACTGATACTCTGCCCCTGGAGAAAAATCCTGAAGGCAGACAAAGGTTTACTGCTTATGTTGTTAGATCCAATATGATGTAGGAACTTTATTTTCAAAGGTTTCCTAGTCAGTATATGATCCTACCATTACTATCAGAAAGAAAGTATTCTTGTACTTTAATAACCACTCATCTTAAGGCCTGGAACTCTTCAATGCTGAAAACACACACAGCAATTTATTTTGAGCTAAGAGCTAGATGTAAATATTCTAATAAACCTGACAGGCTAAGGCATACATCAAGACAAGTTTTACTTACCAGAGTCCCAAGTGTCCAGATGAGAAAGCACCCTGGGATTTGAAATGAAAATCATATTGTTTCACATGTATTACTCTAAAGGATTTCAAAAGGACATTAAAAAGCTTAAATGACCCTTTGACCTCTGAAAGACAGCTACAAAAATCAAAGAACTGTACATGTGACTACATTTAGTAAAGATATTAAATTGCATTTTAAAAGTTCTATCTGCCTGGGTTGCATAAGAATAACTCTTCATGCCTACCATAAATTCCCTAGCTCGAGAGGCCTGTAGATTTCAAATCATGCTGTAGTGACTATAACGATTCCAATAACTGATTTTCAGTTGGATAATCTTATTTAAGGTGAGATATCTAATTAGATACCTAATCAACTATTGAAATGGCACATTAAATCCTTCAACATATTTAAAATTATAACAAAAGATAAATATAATAGAAAATGCTACCTACTTTTTGGCATTTTCAAAAATATTCCTCAAATACGTTGTAGCTCTTCTCTCCTCTCTCTGGTTTGGAAACAAACAAAAATCCTCTAATGAACAAAGTAAAAGGCCAATTAAAATACTCCCTGATAAAACACAGTTGAGAAATGAAGCTTTTGTTTATTTTTTTGCATTATTTTAACATAGTAAGACTTACAGGCAACCAGCTTATAAGTAAAATGACTGCAAGTCTTTGCATTTCTCATTATCAGATTCCCATTTCTCCCCCCACTCGTCCCCCCGCGAAAAAAAAAGTTAACTCTTGTGTGTATCCACTTCAGAGGCAGCTCAGGAGACTCAGGTTTCAGTGCATGCATATTTACCTCTTCTGAAAGGTTACGCCATTCCCTCCTGAGCACATTATTGTGGTAATGCAAGTGTGGCTCTGCATACTTCACACTCTCCAAGTTTGAGTTGAGTTTCTCCCAGAAGCCTTTGGAGTTTTGGAACTGCAAAGTATTGCAGGGAAAGCATGAATAACACACTGCACTCTTAGAGAAATACTCGCTCACCCTCCCACCAAGTGATTGGGAAGAACTGTGATTAATGTAGATTCATAACAATTTAAGTGAAAAAAGTTAAACAAAAGCAGTCACATTATTTTTTCCAGTAATTTAATTTCCTTGTTTTGACAGCAGGGGTAGTACTTACTTAAATGTGAGGTCAAGATTTGGTGCCTGTAATGCAGATACTTTGCCACCTTAGGATCCTTTTAAAGTCACTGGGAAGAAATGAGTACTTCTAGATCATAACTCATCTGACCCTTTCAGATGTTTGGGATGGGATGGGAAGAACTGCACCACAGACTACACTGGCCATACTGTATAGACTTCTACTGACTGTAAAAGGAGCCTTAGGCAACTAATTTAGATGTAAACGTTTACATTAGGTAAAATAAATTCCATTCCTGGTTTCTGGTAGTTACAAACAGAGGAATACCACCATGATCCCAGCAATTGCAGGCTGCCACTATGTCCAAGCTGCACTAATACTCACATTGCAAACATCCATTTGCCAATATCAACAACAGTGCCTCATCCCAGAAAAAAAATCCAAACATTTCCGGAGCAATTCTAAAGCCTTTGACTCTAATGCTGAAATTAATTTAAACTCAGCTGTGAACAGACAGGAGGAAAAAAACCCAAACAAAACACACTGGTTTCCTGAGCTGGTTCTTGGACTGGGTATAAAGATTTGAAGCCACTCTTTATAAATGGGGAGTGATGGGATCCCTGCTGATGAAGAGATGAGACTAAGGCAATTCTTTTTGGTAGTTTTAAAAACCCAAGATGGTACTAGCTGTTCTTGCCCCCTTTATATGCATCTGCCTTCCCATACAGACACTACAGTAGTGACAACTGAAGGAAGAGAAGTTTGAGTTCACAATATTCCTCCGTCTTGCATTAACACACTGGATTTTGCTCTCTCTCCCCTACTTTTCTACAATGACAATAACTTAAGAATTAAACATAAGAGGACTTTAAAACCACTTCCCACTATAAACTACAGTTTGCCAAAGAAAATAAATTGCAGAGACTCAACCCTGCCAGCAATGATTGTCACTTTATTGTTGTAGCTGCAGCAAAGAAAAATAAATCTCCTTTTTGCTTCATGTTAGTTATATTTAGCAGCTGGAAACTAGAAGTGCATATGACACCATATGTTCACCCTGCCGGAGCCTACTAACAAGATCTACAACCTGCTACTGCAGTATGTTGTCCAAATCTTACCAATGTGAAATCAGAGAAATAGAGAACATAGTGTAAGGGTATCATCTAGTGACCAGTTTATGCAACTGCGACAGCACCACCACTGCAAAACTGCATTCAGGCCACACTGGATTTTGTTTGGTGTGTGGCAGGGGGAAGCAAGACAGCAAGTTTCTTTCATATATTCAGTCTGTAACAGGAAGTGGTAGACTTCAGAATTAAAAGTAGACACCACTGAAAACCTGCACTGTATTAGATCATATTAAGAAGTCAAAAGTTTAAAATAAAGTATTATTTTAATTAAATCTGTTATTTCCTGAGGATCATCAGGGCAAGGACTAGAAAGAGAAAGCTTCTTCCTCTTAGTTGGTGTTTATTTTGCAGACTTTTCTAGAGACTCAGGAATTAATACATAAGCATGAACACCTAAAAGACATTGTACTACCAGAAGTCAAAGCAAAGCCTTATCAGGTTGCAATCCATGAAAAGTTCCCTGAAGCCTTTCAAAAGTAGTGTTGTTTTAACTGAAGACAAAGAGAGCTCTCTGCTACAGCCCTCTGAAAGGATGACAGGGTGACAATGACCTTTAAGAGGCGCATGTGCTCTGCCTAGGAACTGTTAGCGCTGTCTCCTCAGCAGCGAAGGTATTCAAAGTGCTGTGTAACTATAACTACGTAGTTGCACAGGCAGCTACTCCTTAAAACCTGAAAACATGACTCTTCACCCGAATGGCTCAGCACAGCATGAGGGAAAGGCTGCCTTTTCCTGTGCTGGTCTCTCTTAACAACTGCTTGCACTAAACTTCTTCACACTTTTCCTGGACCTCCTCCCATTTTCTTCCCTTCTTCCTCCTGCCCCTTCCTTCTCCCCTTCTGATCAAGCCTATGTGCACCCCTTCAAGTTTGGTTTCTGTGTTTAAAAAGGAAATAAAAAACAAAAATCAGTCTCTTATTAATTACAATCCTTATGTAAAGCTTTTTGATAAAAAAAAAAAAAAGCTCTGAGTGTTCCCCTTTTCTCACAGACTCTCTCTGTAGCTCTTGCTGAACAGGAATTTAGCAATGAAACACACACCTGTTACCCAAATACCACAGGTTTTTTTGTGAATATGGACACAACCCTCCCAAAGGCTATCAACAATTCACGGGCTTGAGAACTCCAAAAAGCTTCTCAAAGCAACAATTCATCAATGTTTCTGTGAAATGCCATAAAATCTTTGTGAAGAAATAGTACTTATAGGACCAGATCTGTCACCAGGGTATGACTTATGTTGTTGTGATGCCAACAACACACATCAACTGAAATACCAACAACTGACCAGCTGAACTCAAGCTATGGTGGGTTTGTGTCACTGGAGTGGTACAAAGCAGCCAAAGCACTAAACTTTACCCTGTGTATTACCATCATTGTCCTTACTCAAGTGTCAGAGTAACCTGCAGTCAAAAGCAGGAGGAAATATCTGTCTTTAGTTCAACTCTGACCTTTTCAATCTGTTTAGGTTTCAGACAGAAATAGGAAATGAGTTCCACAATCAGGAATCAGGAAGTATAGCTGGTAAAGGCATTTGCCCCCAGGGGCTTGAGGTTTAATCTCAGACAAATTAAAGGCCTGCTAACTTTGACCTCAGTGAATTACAAGGATTATCTAGCAACAAATTTTCTCAAGATCCCATTTTCCCAGGTGTCCCAGCTCTCAGGGCAGCTTTCCCAATCAAAGCATGCAAAGCCCGACTCTCTGTCAGCAGCACAGCTGTGATGCACTGCTGCAGACTGAGTGAACAGTGATTTCACTGATTTTAAGAGATTTTGTGAACACTGAAGCTTTATGAGCTAATTATAAGCACTGGGGAGGAAACAGACTCTCACCTCTTTAAAGTGCTACATGAAACAATATTGTCATGTATCCAGAGTCTACTCCCACGTGTTGCTGGTACTGTTGGGTTCAAGCTCTGACACTTCACATTAGCCCTCCACACTAAACTGCTTATTAAAGTTCTCTTTCAGATTTTGTAGGTAAATGCTTAGGAAAATTTCAAGTATTTCTCTAAACTGGAGCTGAGGGAATGGAATGGAAGATGGGAAAGATCATTCATGTTGCTTTGAACAGAAAGTACAACTTCCTACCCTAACAGAATGTGCTCTCCCCCATCCAGCTCATTGCCTTGTCCAGTCTTTGCAGGGGATTTGCCTAGATTTAGGTAGCCAAAGCCTTGATATCAGTGCAACCGCAGGATGCTCTGGACAAAACAAAGCGAGAGGCTCACAAGCCATTAGTACCAATGGCAGCACAATGAAATATCCCTCAAAGTGGCGATTTGTAGAGGTATGTAGAAATCCTACATGTCTGTTTTACCAAGTTTACCTCCAGCAAATGAAGTCACAAAGTGAAGAGGTATCAATCAATCTAACAAGAATTAATTATTGGAGGACCTACTTGTTGAATGGAAGAAGCCTCTTCAGAAAGGGAAAAAAATATATCTTTGAACTAGCAAACATAAGTCTGAATAGCTGATATTTTAGTAAACTCTTCAAACAAGGCAATTTTCTGTTCACCCCTATTTTTGGATAGGGCTGTGGGGACACTATTTCATTAGTATTTAGCACACTCCTGCTCAAAAAGAAAAAAGCTCCTAACTTGCAAATATGAATGTGGTTTTACACTGGAACTTACCTCTAACACAGGTATAGAAATAATGTCTGTTGCACACGTTACTCCAGGGATAACCTATAAATAAAGACAAATTATAAGAATATGAATCATTTAGTATAAAACATGGGCCTCTTTGGTATCTAAGTGAATCTCCATTACCCATTTCCTTTGTGAAACTAGCTAGCTAGCCAAAACTGTACATTCACTTTTGACAAAAAGAAATATGGAAGATGTTCTTCTCATTCATCGCATTTAAAAAAAGACAACACATTAAAACACTTGTCAGATCAGAGAAATTAAAATAAGCTATTTGCTCTAACTGTAGGGTCTTGCCTAAAGTTATTTTACTTCTACAGACTTATTAATCTTATCTCTACTGATACTGTTTGTCTTGGAAATAACTGCCTGACTTTGCTGGTTAAATATATTCTGTATTCATTATAAACCACATATGAAAAGCAATAAACTAATATCTCATTATTAAAACTGAGAGACTTAATAATCCATTCCATTACAGTAGCTGTTCTTGTTTTATAAATGCTTTTATTTGTTGACAAAAACCAGGACTCATGGAAAACACCACTAAGGTTAAGACTTGACAAAATAAAATGGGCATAACACAATGATATGGATTTAGAGCATGTCTATGAAAAGGTAAGGCATACAAGTTAAAGATTACATTAAAGGAGAAAAAATAGACTCCCTCTAGCTATTAATTAAAGTACCAGCTGTTATCTTACCCCAATCCAGTCAAGCAGTGATGTGTAGGGCAAAAGTTTATCCAGGTTGTGAGCTTCTGGACACATTCTGCAGTACAGAGAGGCTAAATGCAACATAAAAAGATTTATAAGGGTGAGACTGCATAAACTATCAGTTAACAAGAGTAGGTTTCACAGTCAGCTCTTTATCTAACACTTTTTTAGGGACAAATCCTGCTGCTGTCTGAAACTGCTTCCTCCATGGTGGAACTGGTCCCACTCTGTGCACAAAAGGAGGAAGAGAAGTCCAGATGGCTGCAGGGCTGGGTCAGCTCCTTGGCCACAGCTCAGCACTGCAGGGGACCTTTGTACAAAGGCTCAGGGCACAGGACATGCACTGACTAGGCTGAGGAACCAGTTATTAGAAGATAATATCATGATATGTCAAATCCTTATGAAAAAATTGTTTGGGCTGGGCTAGAGGAGTTTTGTTTCTCTGCTCCAGTATCAATTATTTACATCCCAGACATCCAAGACAGAATGATGCCAGATGGAGAATTTGCTCTCCAGTGACCTAAAATAATGACAAATATATTTGTCCCACTAGACAGAAGAATGTATTTGAAAAGTATTATTGACAACCTGATTTTGAGAGATCTGTGTGCCTTCTAAACTACTGATATTGTCTAACACCACAAAAATGCAGGTCAGTTAATACAAATCAGATGCAAAAAAATCTGGAAAGAAGAGAGTCAGTTTGTGACATTGTGGCTTCTCCCTAAGTTACAACTAGGGTATGCAGGAAAATTCAGCAGGCAGGAAAAGAAATACCTACCAATGATAAATTCTTGAATGGGATCAAAAGAATGACATGCTGACAGGTTCTCAGAAATCCACCAAATAATCTGTCAGAATGAGAACAGGGGAGTTTGTCACATCTCTCTGTTTAAGCATGTGCTGTAAGAGACTGTAGAAACTTTGTTTACAGTAGGTAACACGAAGTAGTAGGTAACACGAAGTAGTAGGTAACACGAAGTAGTAGGTAACACGAAGTAGTAGGTAACACGAAGTAGTGATACAGAAATAAAATGTTTTCAGGACAGCCTTGACCAATGAAGCAGTTTGGGCAGCCCAGCTGACGAGCCTCTTGGCACTGCAAAAAGGTACACGTGAATCAGGACTTTTCTTCTTTGGCTGATGATATTCATGCCTTGATGCTGCTTTGTATAAAACATTAGTCACTGAATAAACTTAAAGGAGGTTCTTTTCCCACCTGCATTTCCAAGTCTACTGTGTGTTGGAAGTACAACAGAGCACAATGTAGAGCGGCCAATCTCTCGCTGTCTTGTTTGCTGTTCTGTAGGAACTGCAGCAAGGCGCTGTCACTGATGCTCACAGCGTACATACTTCCTGCGTGGCAATCCAAGACTGTTGACGTGAGCGGGGATCGGATGTAGCAGTTTTGCAACATGTCAATTCTTGCATCCTCACCTGAAGAACATTGGTTGGAGAATAAAAAGGGCTAACAACATAAAATTTGCCTGCTACCAGTATTTCTCTTAAGACTTCCAGGTTCCCAGCAGTAAGAAACAGTCTGCCTCTTGTACGAGCTACCCTTACACTGTGCTGAAGAGGAAGAGGAACGGTACTGGCTGGGTAAAGGAAGTAAATGAAGAGCACAGTCCATACTCAGTTCTCTCCTTCCCTACTGCTGAAGCAGAGAAGGTATACAGATTTGAGGCTCATAATGTGGTCATAGGACAAATCAGGGTACAGAGGATGGAACAGAGAATGGTACAAGGCTAGTAATAGAGAAACAACACTAGAATTAGCACCTAAGCATACTGATGCAATTCAGACTGCTCACATACAGAATCATGATACAGACTTGAATTGGTGGACCTCTTTACCATCAATCCCAATGGCCAGAACAGAAAAGTTCTGCTCTATGATTACTGATTGAAGTATCAGATCAAAACCACTTTCTTTATGCTAGTTGTTTCACCACCACAGTACTATACAGTAGGGTTCCAGACCCTTTGCATCAGAGAAATCAGGTTCATCATACAACAGCGATGCCTTATGCTCATTGCTAGCAGAACAGTATTTCATTACATATATACAACAGGTATTAGGTTCCTGTGATGCTGCCCCTGCACCAGTTCCCACTACTTACCTTTCCTTCACCCAATCAGAAGAACAGCTTTCTGTTTTCAAACAAAGGCCCCCCACTTCCAAAAATAACCCACTTCCCATAAAGACGTGGAAATGAAATAACATGCCTCTCAGATGAGACTCTAAATCAAATTGCATCAGCCTGATCAGGTGAAGGAAACACAGATTTCCTCTCCCCACACCCTCCAAACACACACATTTAGAGCAACTCAATTGGAGGAAGGAAATGTAAAATCAAATTTACATCTCCATGTGAAATTTGAGAACAGTGGAGGACCAAGAAGCATGTGCAAAGATGGGGGAAGGGAAACCATGAAACCAAGGCAAAGAATTTCAAATTCAGTGAAAGGTCTTCCTCCATTTCATAACAAGCTAGAAGTACGTAATAGATGAAGTATGAAATGTCACTTCAGATTCTCTTTTTAAAATTGAAAGTGGCAAAAATGACACTTATTTTTTCAAACTTTCTTTCTTCTTCAGAACACTGTGCAATAAAGCAAATGTTGAGAAATACAACTTTCACATAAAGAGATCTGAACAAGTTTCCACTGCAACAATAAAGTTACTTCAAACAGCATCTTACTGTACCTGTCAGAAACAAGCTATAGCACAGTAGGTCAGGATGCTGAATATTCAGGAGGTGCAGGAACTGGCCAGGCAAATAAGCAGCCACATAGTAGTCTATTGAAAGAAATAACAGTGGTTAATTTAGCACTTGTTCACTTATTTGCTTTCAGAGGCTGTTTCACATTAGTCTTATCTTGGCCCACTTCTGTCTGATGGAATTCATTATATCTAGGAAATATAAAAGGAGTTAATTAAAAGCTGCTGTTGTATTAACACAGGAAATACTAGCAATACATTTGGGTTTCCAGGGGAGGATTCAAGAGGCTTGAGACACTCCAGAACTCAGCAGCTGATCTCCAGTGCAGATTCTGAGGCAATTTCAGAGGAAGTTGCTTACTAATAGCGAGGTATTGCAGTATCAAGCGCCAAACAAAAGTTAAGCAAAAAAAAAAAAGCAGCAAAACAACACAACTACTTAAAGTCAAGAAAATAAATCCTTTCCTTCTAGAGAAGGGTTAGTCATTTGTATCCCTGCTGGGGACAGAGAACAGGAGTCACAGAGTGAAATAACAAAAGTAACCTACCAAGATTCATAAAAGCCACTTCCTTCAATTTATGAGATTCTGTTCTTTCTAGAGAAACTGTGAAAGTTTTGTTGTAACCTGGGGAAAAAATAATACTACTTTGAAAATGTCCAAACAATAAACACCATCTGTTACAAGCCAAGTATAACTTTATAGCTAGAAACTTCAGCAGTGCCAATACACCCAAACAGGGATATTTTAGACTGTTTTACGGGCTTGTCTGCACAGACAGATTTACTTCACCCAAAACAGAGCTGTTGCATACTTAGTAGACCTGCACCCAGACAACATAGTTCTTTAGTATGCAGAAAGTGGCCATGCACTGCACAGTCTACATTTGTGTTTAAAGAAGCATTCCATCCCAGAGCAAGCTTGTGTAAAAATACCTCCCACCAAAACAACCCCTAAACACAAATCCTTTATGTAGTAGCTATGCTTCACATTTTGGTGATCCTTCAACTGCTTTAAAGAATTTCAGGTTTGTTTATCTGCATGCCCTGTTGCTGTAATTTAGTTCAGCTGTGTTGAAACATAGGCTGATTTCAGACCTGCTGTGTTTGCATGGGCTTTGCATCAGCACAGCTGCTATTTTATTCTAGATTTGCACCACACTTTTTCTGGCATCCAGTAAGGATGACATAGAGCCCTCAAACTTCCTCAGTCTCTGAGAAAAGCTGAAGATTAAAATAACTAAGGAGAAAATGCCTGGCCTCAAAATGTTCATGCTGCAATATCCTAAAGGCTGAATGTTGTCATGATCAGCACGCTACTTAATACTGCATGAAAATTCAAGATCAAGACGATAGATCCACAGGACCACCAAGGAAAAAGTCGATCATGAGCCGTGCTTCAGCCACTCACCCAGGACTTGGAGTCCTGACCCTAGCAGAGAGATTTGCTTTATCAGTCTCATACGACTGATGAATCTTACATGAACCAACAACAGCTCTGCACCAAACAACTCCATTCCATGAAGGTTATTTCAGATGCAGCTAGTCAATGTCACCATATTTATCCTCAGTTTCTTCCTGGTACAGATAGGGACGTACAAGGGCCATGGCTGGCTCCAAGCAATGCAACCACCCTTCAGTTACACATCAAGCACATCTGGGGACATCAGCCCTTCATAGCAGTACAATGCAGAGTGCTGCCATGCCCAGAACGGTCTTTTCCAATTTGTTAATGCCTTCAAGAACACCAAAATGCTGCTCATTCAATCCCACAACGTTACAGCAGCAAAGTGACATGTTAGTGCAGCTCTGACACACGAAAGTTTCCTAACACAAAAAAGCAAACACTGAAAGTGAAACAGAGGTATGTCGTCCACTTGAATACAGTTACTCCACACTATGCAGCTTCTCACTGAGAAAAAAATTTGCCCTTCTCCTGCATGTATCAAATTAGAAAGATCTTGCTAATGACAAATTTTGCTCTGATCAGCATAAAGGTGTTCTTTATTATTTCCAAGAAAAAACCACCCTAGGTCTTAAAATTAAGAGCTAGAGCACCATTTACATAGCAACTTTTCTTACAGTCAGTGGGTGTTGCACCTCTTGCTGTGAATACGACATGTTGAACTGGAACTCTAAACAGACATCCAAGGTAAGAGCTGTTGGCTTTATTTCCCATACAAATGCCTTATGGCATAAGTACAATACATCTGCAAACTCCCACAGGTTTCACTGATGTTTGTGCTCAGCACACTGGAAAGTCTGGCTAGAAATAAGGGACCAAATTAATAGCAACTCATCAGGCCGCTAGTTTGAAGCTACTCGTTTAGCATCAGGCAGGAAGTCTAGAGCAGAAAAGTCAACTCTGCAGCTAAAGGCAGCGGCTACCTTTAAACACCACCCACAGCAATTTATTGTCTGCAGAATTTGGTAGTTATTTGTTTTGCAAGGCATTCTGTGACTCTTTCAGCAAAGAGACATTCTCCAAAATAAAGCATAACTTAACAGGTTAATCTTACCTTTATGCAAAAAATATATGGAGTATGTTACTTCATCAGGAATATCAGAAGCTAGACTGCAACACACACACAAGCCTCCTAAAAACACAAAAAGGGAAAAGAAAATTTACTTGTCCACCTGAATACCTAGACATCTTTACATTGCACATAACTAAAGCAAGACTATTTTAAATTAAAAGCTAAAAATAATCTCAAAAAAGGTAAAGATTACAGAAACAGATATTACAGATCTCTAACCATCATTTACCTAATGAAATGCAAAATAAGAGAGAACAGAGGAGACAACAGGGCAAAACAGAAACTGACATGGCCAGTTCTTCTCTTTAAGAGAAGTACATTTTTAGCCCTTCCCAGTAGAAATCAGACTTGCAGCCAGAAAACTGATCAAGCCTTTCTCTCCACAGACTGCCTCAATCTCTGGATATTTTCTGTTCAGAGACTGTCAAATATGCACAGAACAACATAGTAAAACACAGTTTGTTTGCTTTCTAAGTAATTTCATAATGGCAGCAGCATGATATGCTACTAGAGCTTTCTCACACTAGAAATGATAGTCACTTCTCACCTTCCCAGTCCAAAGACCTGTTAATTCCTTTTTTAGGAAAAAAGTCAGTCCTTGGCACAAGCTTATTTCAGGCAAGGTACTCTGTGTAGGAATGCTCCCCACTCCCAGCCTAATTCTAGATCAAAATGACAGACTGTTTTGACTCCACTGGATGATAGCCCTCCCTCCGTCTCTTAGAAAAACTTTAATCCACTTACTCGGATGCTTTGGCAAGCTGCTTTAGCATTCATGTTAGAACAGCTTCCAAACCACATTATCCCAATACTGTTGGGAAAGCTGTGCCACAACTGTGACCATTCATCTTTTACCTTTATTGAAAGTTTATCACTTAAAAGACAAAAAAAAAAAAAACAAAATAAAAAAAAAAGTGGGGGGGGGGGGAGGAAGGTAATACTAATACAGACACTCTTCTGTAAAAAAATAAAGGTTTATGTATATGAGGTACACCGGAAAAGGCACAGTATGGAAAAAGTGCAAGTACAAAAAAAGCACAGCTACCAAGGTATTTTATTTGGTTAAATGTCTCATACTTCAGACCACAAAGCTGTACCATAGCTGCGATACAGACATGGCTGAGGCACTTCACACTTCTGGGGAAAGTAAATACTTTCTTGAGATGCATTTTTTTTTCTGCTTATTCTTAGCTAATTGAATATTGTTTGATACAGTTTTGCTTGGATATTTGAGTCATTTAGACAACAGACAGGGCATTTTGCCAGAGCACTTGGCATCTTTCAGAGCATGCATAATTTTTAAAGTAGCAGCATCAGGACTCACGAGGAAGACTGGAAAAGCTCCAGTAACCCACAATGCTGTTTTATTACCAACAGCTCCCTTCCAACATTGCAAATTTCCTTCTTGTGTGCTGGAGGCTAGTGTATACACTGTTCTGTAAATCGCATGACATGCAAGTAAGCCAGCTGAGATTGAAGTGTTGGTGGGTATGTGTGCAAGCTGATCACAAAAACAGCGGCTATGGGGGACTCTCAATAGGACGTGTATCTTTCAACTCCAGGATACTGGTCTGAATGTTAACAAACTGAACTATGAACAACAGAAGATATCAAATGGTGCTTCATTAATACAGACAGAAACACGACAGTCTCAGATCAGCAACTGCCCAAGCAATGTTATATCCCATAACATCCTGGCAATCCCATTAGAGCAGCCAGAGACTGAGAATATAAGACAAATTCCTTTCCTACCCTTACCAGTGCTCTCTGCAAATCAGAGCTGGGGTGTGTTGATGCAGCGAAAGCTCATTATCCTATTGCACCTATATGGTGTTTCATGCAAAGGCAGAACCAAGTCTTTTACACTATCCATTTTAAAATCATTTTCAAACAGTAAGAACTGTAGCTAAATGCCACAAAGCAAGAAGACTCACATAAAGATATATTTGGATGGACTCTTTATCTTTTCAGAAGTAAAAGAGAAAAGACAACTCAACCACAACAAAGTAAAAAGAAAAAAAAAAAGAAGAATTTAAAAATGAAGTTCTACCCTACAGGGTAACAGTGAGTTACTACAGTCAGCAGAATTAGGGAAACAACAATTACAACTCTGCCACTTGACAAATAAACATCATGCCACTGAAATGATAAAAGTCTCCTATGAAGGCATGAAGTTTTCTCCAGGAAACTTCAACTTCAAATTCCTCATTTCTGTTCATGCAGAAGTGTAAGACATAATGTTGTACCAGCTTCTCATCATGGCATCCGAGTGTCACAATTCACATATGACATGGTACCAGGGCATTTTGTCCAGTTGTAGCGGCTCAGAAGGGACTTGCCTCACCTAACTTCAGCCACCCAAACATCCCTCATTTAGACTCCTATACAGCAAATGAAGAAATATGGATAGAAGCAATTACCCTCTGGAGATGCCTATTTCTCTCTATAAATATAGTCCAGATGCTAAACTGGGTAAAGTTAAGGTGAAGTTAGGTGATGGCAATCCAGGGTTTATGTCACCTTACTGCCTGAATCTTTTTTTTTTTTTTTAATAGCAAGCAAATTTAACTGAAAAGTACTTCTAAAGCGCTACAAGAAAACACAACAGCCCAGCGTTCAAATAACCACTGAATTCTAGACATACAAAGTTAAGTCTAAGACTAGAACTGCTTGATCTCAGCTAATCTGGAAGTATATAGGACTTTTTATCTGGAGACATTTTGTCTGTGCTGAATACAAGGAACCGGGCTACTTTTCTTCTACTGCGGAAGTTTGAGAAAGGAAGAGTGGTTTCAGAGTAGCCAGTAACAGTTTTATTAAATGAGAAATTGCATGGAATATTCCATTTTGAAGTTATGCCAATTATACTTTGCCAAAGATGTCTGAATGGTACAAATAGGGATATTGGAATTAAAACTTGAAGTATGCTAGCAGTTCTGCAGAAGGCATAGGCTGCACTCAAAAGAGCTTGCAGTCCAGTTTTGTAAATCACCACAAAAAAAGGGCACAAAAGTGAACCCACAGTGGTGTTCTGCAACTAGATACTGTCTCAGCACCAAAACCATTTGCTCCAAATTGTCAGTTACTGAAAATGGGTTGTGCAAAGTAATCCTCGGTTTCAAACAACCTTCAATGAAAATCTGCATCCTACATCTCATTTAGGAAGTGGAATTGTCAAACTGTGTGTTTCACATTAAGTGCAATGAAAAGCGTGTGTGAAAGGTTCCACGCAGAATTTAAATACTGTGTTGCCAGACGGAAAAGAATATTTTGCTTCGGGGTAAATCAAACAAGTCTTGTTGGAGGAAGACTGAATTTCATCCTAAACCAAAAAGGTTTTTCCATCTGAACAAATCCTAGAGAATTACAAGTTTAAAAGGAAACATGTATCATAGAATAGAAAAGAATATTTTGGGTTGGAAGGGACCTTTAAAGGTCATCTAGTCCAACTCCTCTGCAGTGAGCAGGGACACCTTCCACCAGATCAGGTTGCTCAGAGCCCCGCTCAACCCGACCTTGAAAATTTCCTGGGATGTGGCATCTATCACCTTTCTGGGCAACCTCTTCCAGTGTTTCACCACCCTCATTCTAAAAAATTCTTCCTTATTACCTAGTCTAAATCTCCCCTCTTCTAATTTAAAACCATTGCCCCTTGTCCCCTTGCAACAGGTCCTACTAAAAAGTCTGTCTCCACCTTTCTTACACGCGCCCTTTAAGTATTTGAAAGGCCACAATAAGGTCTTCCTGGAGCCTTCTCTTCTCCAGGCTGAACAATCCCAACTCTCTCAGCCTGTCCTCATAGGAGAGATGCTCCATCCCTTGGATCATTTTTGTGTCCCTCCTCTGGACCCACTCCAACAGGTTCATGTCTCTTGTGCTGAGGATCCCAGATTTGGACGCAGTATTCCAGGTGGGGTCTCACCAGAGTAGAGTAGAGGAGCAGAATCACCTCCCTCGAGCTGCTGGCCAGGATTCTTGTGATGCAGCCCAGGATACGGTTATTGACCTTCTGGGCTGCAAGCGCACATTGCCGGCTCACGTCCAGCTTTTCATCCACCAGAACCCCCAAGTCCTTCTCCGTAGGGCTGCCCTCAATCTCTTCATGCCCCAGTCTGTATCAATAACATGGGTTGCTCTGACCCAGGTGCAGAACCTTGTACCTGGCTTTGTTGAACCTCATGAGGTTCACACA